CCCCCCCCCAGAACCTCCGCCCCCTCCAACTGCTCCTCCCAGCCCCGGCCCCCTTACCATGCTGCTCAAAGCAGCAGGAGCTGCAGAGCTGCCAGAGCGCTGGTGGCGCGGCACGCTGGGGCTCTGCGAGGGGGCTGTGTGTGGAAGCGGGGGCGCCTCCCCCGCTGGGACCTCAGGCGGGCCAGACAGGACGGTCCCACAGGCCAGATGTGGACCGCAGACCGGAGTTTGCCTGCCCGCCAGCCCCTTTAACAACCGGTTCTACACCAGCTTCTAAATTTAACAACCGGTTCTTGCGGACTGGTGCGAACCGGCTCCAACTCACCACTGCCTCTATTTACAGACTTTTGCCCTGATCCTGCAATGAATTATGCACGAGCAGCTCCTGCTCCGGCACAGAACCGCATTCAAGTTAATGGGGCCCCATGTGCAAGGCACTGCAGGATTGGGGCCTTATTCTTTCAAGGTTTTACATAGGAGGTACTTAACAAGTACTCTGTTGGCGTGCAGCTGCTAGTTTCAGGAAAGCTACTTCAATTCTGCTTGTTTTTAGAATAATAAAATTGTCTTTACTGGGTACTCTGCATTTCAACTGCTCTCTCTCATGACTTTAAATGCATGATTTAAATAAGATGTCTGTGGCATGCAGCACACACATATTCTCTTCCCCTTCATAGGGGAATGTTCAATATCCTAAGGAGTGTGAAGTAGCTTACTAGTTTTGTTACAATGCATTTAGTAAAAATGAATAAGCTAAGAAATCTAGTGCAATGTAGGAAAGCTGGAGGCCTCTAAGCACACACTTAAGCTTACATTAAGTAATTCAGTTATTAAAAAACAAAAAAACCAACTTACTGTCTTGTCATCATTTTCAAAAGCTTCTCTTGCTTCCTCATAGGTACAGTTTTCTTCTATGCACTCACGCTCTATGTTCCCTTGCTTTAGCTCTTCCAAAAATCCATTGGCTCTTGGGTATCTTTTTAACACAGAGTTGGCTTTGTTTTCTGTTAGGAACACTGAAAAGATGAAGAGAACACAAAGGTCACTTCTGAAAATATTGTATGGCTACATTCCCAAAAGTTCAGAATAAAATCAGAAGAAAGAAAAATAATTTGTTGTCGTCTGGAGAAAAATTTTTAAAAAAATAAATTTTATTAAAAAAAAAAAAAAAAAAATTATGAAGGCTCCTTCATGTGTTACTGGCTATTAAAAATACTTTTGCATAGACTTCTGAGCATTATAGGTACAGTGCCACAGATTGTTTAAGTGCAACCACAGGCCTTCACTCAGCACAGCATCCCTATTCAGAACACTTAAACTCATGTTTAACCTAAACTCTGAAGTCAATGGGACTTAAGCACATTTATAAGCACCATCCTGATTAAAGATGAACTTAAGCATCCACTTAAATGCTTCCTTTCAGGGCTACAGGGAGCAAATGGTACATGGCTGTGAACTCCCCCTCCAAAAAGTACTTATGACTACGTGGGGGCATCCTATCTGAAATTCTCACAAGTGTTATCAATAATATTTTTCTGCATAATAACTAGTGAGAATCACACTCCAGAATGGCTGACCTTTTTTCAAAGAGAAGGTCTACAAATTCTCTTATGCAACATTGAACTTCGCTAGCTACCATGGCATTAAAGAAACTCCAACTGTACCTATAACATTTAAGTTACATTTTAGTTTGTTCAACTTGAGCAGTGTACTTCTTTCCTAGTAAATCTTTAGGTTCAGGGGTAGCAAAAATGTGTGTAATTTCCTTTTAAAATAATTCAATATGTGAATATTAAACCCCGAGATGCCAAAAAGCCAGGAGTAGAATTGCATGCCTGATCTCAGTATGAAATCGCATGTGAATCAAATATTTACATACAGAAATAACCAGTTAGACGCAAGACAAGAATTTACATATGCAGATGCACAATTAGCATGCAAGTTAAAATAAATTGGACATGAGTTCCTGATTGAGAATCAAGCCCTCAATGAGATTTTAAGCACAAATACATGATCCAGCTTTTTCTGCTGACATTCCCTACTGTTCTACACCACATGCTAACAGCAAAATAGAGTTTACAAAAACCATTATCCAGCTGAAGTGTGTGACACTGCAAGTTTCACTTTTCTATCACTCCAGAAAAACAACAGTGTGGGAAAACCAGAGAACATGAAAGAAAGGAAATGGCAGACAGTCACTCATCAGGAATTTGCCAAATGAAAATAAATGTTGCTTCCTAAATTCCAGAAGGATCAAGATTTCTTAAGAGTTCAACTGACAGACATTGGAAAAAGTTTAAAGATTTTGAGCTCCAACATTTCCATCATGATTTTTCATCTTTCAACTCGGGCTGTTGATTAATCACAATTAATTCACGTGATTAAAAAAAGGAATCATGATTAAAAAAATGAATAGCGATTAATCGCAGTTTTAATTGTACTGTTAAACAATAGAATACCAGTTGAAATGTATTAAGTATTTTTGGATGTTTTTCTACATTTTCAAATATATTGATTTCAATTACAACACAATACAAAGGGTATAGTGCTCACTTTATATTTTTTATTACAAATACATGCACTGTAAAAATGATGAGAAATGTGAATTTAAAAATACTCATATACAAGTTGTCAAGGGCAATCTCTTTATCTCGAAAGTGCAACTTATGAATGTAGGGTGGGGTTTTGTTGTTGTTGTTGTTTTTTTTTTTTGCTATATAACAACTGCACTCAAAAACAAAATAATGTAAAACTTTAGAGCCAACAAGTCCAGTCATGTCCATGCTGATGACGCTCGTTAAAAAAAAAATGTGTTAATTAAATTTGAGACTTGGGGGAGAATTGTATGTCTCCTGCTCTGTGTTTTACCCATATTCTGCCATATATTTCGTGTTATGGCTGTCTCGGATGACAACCCAGCACATGTTGTTCATTTTAAGAACACTTTCACTGCAGATTTGACAAAATGCAAAGAAGGTACCAATGTGAGATTTCCAAAAATAGATACAGCACTGGAACCAAGGTTTAAGAATCTGAAGTGCCTTCCAAAATCTGAGAGGGACGAGGGGTGGAGCATGCTTTCAGAAGTCTTAAAAGAGCAACACTCCGATGCAGAAAACTACAGAACCCGAACCACCAAAAAAGAAAGTCAACCTTCTGCTGGTGGCATCTGACTCAGATTAAAATGAATGTGCATCAGCCTGCACCGCTTTGGATCATTATCAAGCAGAAACTCATCAGCAGGGCCGGCTCCTTGCACCAGCTGACCAAGCACATGCTTAGGGCGGCACCTTAGACGGGGCGGCCAATGTTGGGGTGGCGGGGGGGCGGGCGGGGTTGCGGCGGGGTGGCACTCTTCGTTTTTTGCCTGGGGCGGCTAATAAAGTTAGAGCCGGCCCTGGTCATCAGCATGGACACATGTCCTGTGGAATGGTGGTTGAAGCATGAAGGGACATACGAATCTTTACTGCAGCTGGCACGTAAATATCTTGCAACGCCGGCTACAACAGTGCCATGCGAACGCCTGTTCTCAGTTTCAGGTGACATTGTTAACAAGCAAGCAGGCAGCATTATCTCCTGCAAATGTAAACAAACTTGTTTGAGTGATTGGCTGAACTAGTAGGAGGACTGAATGGACTTGTTGGCCCTAAAGTTTTACATTATTTTATTTTTGAGTGCAGTATGTGGTTTTTTTTGTTGTTTTTTTTTTTTACATAATTCTACATTTGTAAGTTTAACTTTCAGGATAAAGAGATCGCACTAAAGTACTTGTATTAGGTGAATTGAAAAATACTATTTCTCTTATTTTTACAGTGCAAATATTTGTAATAAAAAATATAAACTGAGCACTGTACACTTTGTATTGTGTTGTAACTAAAATTAATATATTTGAAAATGTAGAAAAACATCCCAAAATATTTAAATAAATGGTATTCTATTATTGTTTAACAGTGCAATTAGTTGCGATTAATTTTTTTATTTGTACGTTAATCACGATTAATTTTTTTAAAATCGCTTGACAGCCCTACTTTCAACTTGAAAGGCATATTGTTTAAATAGTTTACCTATCTCAGCCATTCTTTTGGGTGCCCAATCTGAGAGATTTTAAAAGACCATTTTGTATAGTCTGGGTGCTCTGCATATCAAGTCCATTTACAAAAGTCCAACTTTAAGTGCATCAGTTCAGGATGTTAATCAGTCTCTTGAAAATTTTGGGTCCATCAGAGCATTTGCAGAAGGGGTGGCCAACCTGAGCCCGAGAAGGAGCCAGAATTTACCAATGTACATTGCCAGAGAGCCACAGTAATATGTCAGCTCCCCCCTCCCCCTCCCACGGCTCCCAGTACCTCTCGCCCACTGGCAGCTCCGCCGATCAGCACCTCCCCCTCCCTTTCTCTCCGCACCTCCTGATCAGCTGTTTCGTGGTGTGCAGGAGGCTCTGGGGGGTGGGGGGGAGGAGCGAGGGCACGGCAGTCTCAGGGGAGGGGGTGGGAAGGGGTGGATTGGGGGCAGGGCCTGTGGCAGAGCCAGGGGTTGAGCAGTGAGCACCCGCTGGCACACTGGAAAGTTGGCACCTGTAGCCTCAGCCCTGGAGTCGGTGCCTATACAAGGAGCCGCATATTAACTTCTGAAGAGCCACATGTGGCTCCAGAGACACAGGGTGGCCACCCCTAATTTACAGCATTAAACCAAGACTATGGGGGGAAAAAAAAAAAAACTGTTTTCTTCATTTGTATTGTTTGCTTCCCATTTTGGTATTCCATAAAATATACTAGCTGCAGAAGATAATGAAGAAAAACAAACAAGAGCTAGATGGACACAGCCAACTAGTTTTCGGGTTCATAATAGAACAGTCTAGAGGTTGGGAAGAGAGAGTAGTTAATACTAGAAATTACCAAGAAATATAAATATTCAAGTAAACAAACTCAGTCTGGAATATATTATACCAAAAGTGTGCATTGCCACCTAATAGGTCAACTATACTTAGTATAGTAAGCACATTTTTACTTTTATGGAACTTTTCAAATCCACATTCCTAGGTAGAAGAACAATAACTTATGTATTCAACTTTGGAGAAGGAAGGGGACAAAAAGGAATCCCATATCCCCCGCTATCTCTAGTCACTTATTAATTTCCATTGCTATTATTAAATATACATATTTGCAACAAGAGCTCACTCTCTTTATAATATAACTGACTTTATTGTCCCTTTTATTTGTGGTTTTTCTACTGCCATGGAAATTAGCATAATGACTTTTACTTGTATGTTCTTAAGTGAAAGTGAGCTGTGAAACAAATATCAAGAAACTGGCAAATGTGACATTCACGCATTATGAAAACCTGGAGAGTAAGCAGGGTTTGCTTTCTGCCCTATTTGAAAGCTTCCCTGCACATTAAGACCATAGAGCAAGCTCTAAAAGGTCACTACATGTGCTAAAAGAAAGAAGTTGCACCATAATCAGCATCCACATTCTATATGTGTCACATAGCCCAAATTATGTCAATCCCATTTCAGCCTAATGCCATCTGCTTGCTTTCACCTCCTCGCCACTCTGTATGTCTGTGCAACTTGTCAACAGCAGTAGCACGCTAGGAAATAGTAACTGGAAATATTGATCCCAGTGAAAGGTAGAAGTGAGCAGGCATTCAGTTGAATTCCTAGTGGACTTGAGATGTTTTTATTATTTGCCATACGTTGGAACATTTTTAAATAGTGCATATTTTTTACGTTTAATTATATCAACTTACACTACTGTATAGTTTCTGGGTTCTGTTCATTATGGAAGTCTCTGTTGTAAGTTACAATGCTGTATACATCTAATCACCACCACTGAAATGGACACCAACAAAAATCTGTCAGGCAGATGGAATTTTTCTAGATCCTCGCAAAGCTGTGTTTATCAACAAAACAAGTCCATTTCTTTAATACCTGCTTCTTATGATTTCTTAAAAAAAGAAATCAAGGTCTAGTACTCCCATACACCCACAGCTGCGAGTGGTGGAAAGGAAGAACCTGTGATTCAAAAGCAGAATCAATGAGTGTAACATAAATGTGGGGAAAGAGTAACTGCTTTTTTTTCCTTGCTTTAGAGTTTTTTGATGGTCCCCTGGAGAGCTGCATTCATGTCCCCGAAGAGACCCCCATCCCCAGCCTTTAAACTTTTAGACACATGTTTTACATGTGGACTATGATAGGGGAGTAGGGTGCCATAAAAGTGGAGCTGTAAGAGAGGGAGTTTTGAGTTAAGGCATGGGGATGATCAAGGAGAATGAGCAGGAGGATGTAGGATTGTAGGTGTGTGTGGGAGGAGGGGGACAAAGTGGGGCCTGAGTTGAGGAAAAAAACTCTAGCCATAAGAAGTTCGTCAGAATACAGATCCTATCCCCTACATTTCTCACCCTTTAGCCCACTGCCCCCAAGAAGACGAAGCAGCAATACCACTGGTATTCTTCAAGGCAGGGGTCTCTCAGCACAGAGGAGCTGAGCTCCCGCTAATCTCCTCTCTGCACAAGCACCTAATTTTCCTCCCTTCTCCATAACACATCCCTGCTGAACTCCACATACCCAAAAAACAGGCCAATACCTCCCTCCCACTGACAAGTCAGACTGAAAACTGCCTGTGAAAAATCAGAAATAAAAGCAATGCATTTTTAAATTTGAAACTGCAGCAGTTTACAGATTTGAGCTATTCTGTACGCTAAGCTTGGTGAAACTCAGTTAGGTCATTCTCATGACTTTTGTCTAAAGCCTCTCCGATTTATCAACATCCTTCTTGAATTGTGAACACCAGAAGGGGAAATAAAACTAAACCTATAGGGGGTTAAAATTTCAAAAGTGGCTGTGTTCTGAGATCTTATCAGAATATATATGTATGTGAAGTCTGAAGCTTGTGGGGGAATATGCTTGTTTAGCTAGATGAATTCAAGGAAGAGAAAAGGCAGGGCAAGATTTCAAAAAAGGGAGGATAAAGATGTTTCCCCTGCAAGTTCATTTCTTCAGGAAAAACAGTTTAGTGAAAATGTAATTGTCCCTAGAAAAGAGTTATTATGTCAAGTTTTGAAATTAAACTCAGCTAAAGTATGCCATAGAGGAAATTTAGTCCTGCTTTAAGTGGAAGTCACAGTGCAACCTTAGCTATGGAGCCCATATTTCAAACCTCCAAAAATGAACTTCTATATTTAGTATTTATGATAACTATTACATGTATTCATACACTGCAAGGCCAGAACGGACCACTGCGATCACCTAGTCTGACTTCCTTTCTAGCACAGGCCATAGAACTTCTCGAAAGTAACTCCTAGCACATAACTTTTAGAAAAACATCCAATTTTGTTTTTAAAATTGCCAGTAATAGAGAATTCACTACAATCCTTGGTAAATTGCTCCAATGGTCAATCACCCTCACTGTTGTAAATTTACATCTTATTTCCAGGCTGAATTTGTCTAGATTCAATTTCCAGACAATGAATTGTTCCCCATATAGGTACTTACAGACTGTAATCAAGTCACCCCTTAACCTTTTCTTTTTTAAGCTAAACAGACTGCGTTTTTTTTTAAGTCTATCACTATAAGGCATGTTTTCTACTCCTTTTATCATTCTCGTGGCTCGTCTGAACCCTCTCCAACTCAACAACGTCTTTCTTGAATTGTGAACACCAGAACTGGACATGGTATTCCTGCAGCGGTCACACCAGTGCCACATACAGAGGTAAAATAGCCTCTCTATTTTTACTTGACATTCCCCCGTTTATGCATCCAAGGATCGTCTTAAGTCCCATACGAGCCACTCCATTATCCTGCCCAGACTCAACGTCTGACTGACAGGTCCATAACTACCCGGGTCTTCCCATTCACCCTTTTTAAAATACTGGCACAATAGCTTTTTTCCCTGGTGTTCCAAGACTTATTGAAAACCAACATTAACAGTCCAGCAACTTCTAAGCGAGCACTTTAAAAACTCTTGGATGCAGGTTATCGGGACCTGCTGATTTTAAAATGTCAAACTTAGCAGCTGCTGTTTAACATCCTCCTGATATACTACTGGAATATAGAGTGTCATACTGCGATGACTACATCTGTTTTCCCCCAAATACAAGGCAAAAACCATTTATTGAACACTTCTGCCTTTTCTGCATTACCATTGATAATTGTATTATTTCCATCTAGCAATAGACTAAATCCATTGTTGGGATTCTTTTGGATCCTAATATTCTTTTAAAAAACAAAAGAAAAACAAAAAACAACACTCATTGTCTTAACTGTACTGGCCAGAGATTTCTCCTTGTTTCCCTTTGTTTCTTTTATCAATTTTCTACAAATCCTAGCTTCTGATTTATATTCACTACTAAACAACTATATATAAGAAAGGGAAAGTGGATCTCTTTTATCTGACTTTTTGGGCATAGAGTAAAGTGTTCTTAAACTATTCCCAATTATTATACACTTTTTTCCTGTTTAATTCTTCCTCCCAGCTGATTTGGCTCATAATTGTTTTCAGCTTTGTGAAACTGACCCTTTTAAAGCACCAGGTGTGGACTTTATTCCGTTTGCACTTTATAAATGGGATCAAGTCAAAATCACTAAATCTCAGCTACCATTAATTTTTAGTTCTGTGACTGGTTCCTCTATCTGTCAGGATGAGGTCTAATGTAGGACAATGGGTGCATTATATCAATCTCTGGCAGAAATACAATAGGATTATTATTTCTCTTCAGGACCAAGCAGAAGGGAAGCTTCCTTTGAACAAGAACAAATTTTATCAAGACAAAAATCAACATTCCAAAAAGCTACTAGCTGAAGACTGGTTTCTGTACTCTTTGTTTTGGAGTGTGGTAAAGTCCTCCTTTAAGTGGAATAACTATAGAAATATGGATGCTCAGCATTGCTTAAGCAAACACTTACCACTGCCCATGGTTATCACTGCCCAGGCAGGGAACTGGCAAATGAAGAGTCTGTAACAAAAATAAAAGGGGGGGGGGGGGAGAGAAACTGCTGTCAATTTTGTAAAGAATGATTTTACAAAATATTACTGGTAGTCATAATCATTGTGAAATATAAATACATACACATACACAATATTTAAGAAGTTATGTATCTACTGAAAATTATGTTCTCAGGGTCTTGGATTTAAGGCAGGTCCACTAGGAAGTGATATGCCTTGCACATGTTCCTTTCAGGCAGGAGGTAACAGACACTATCTAGTCATGTGGACTGTATGCCTACATTGTAGGCCTATTTGCATACACACACACACACACACACACACACACACACACACAAGATTGCTATGTCTAAGAGAGGAAATTCACAAAATAAAAACAAACAGCATAGAGCATCCGGTCTACGACTAAAGACAAAGGATTGTTAGGGTATATCTGGAGGGGGGTACAAGGAAACACATAAGAGGAAATACACTCCTCCTTCACCGAGGAGACAAGCTGACACAGTGTCACTCTCATGAAAGGAAGATTACAGCCAAGCCTGGCTGCAAAACACTGCAAGGACTTTGGGTCAATATTACTCTGACATGAGTGTATCTAATTATTGAAGTCTAGGCTCCAGAATGAGGGAAGTACTTGCCCTGCAGAACTGACCCCCAGGTGAAGGGCAGGTGGCAGTGAGGTATCTCAGAATCCTGGGTTCCCCTAGGAAGCATTACAGTTACAGACTCATGAGATGGGTCCCTGAAAAGGGGTAGGGAAGGATGGTGGGCAGGAGGAATGGAGATGAACTAGAATGAATATACCAGACCCACTGTACTTAGGACCCACTTCTCTGAGGTTATTGCCTCCCAACTTCTGAGGGATACGACTCTGTCCTCAAAAGGGGCAAAGGAACAGAAAGACCACTGCTGATTGTATCACTGTCCTCAAGGACGACGGCAAAAGGTTTGTTTCTCTACGGCGGGGGGGGGGGGGGGGGGGGGGGAGGAGAGGATTAGTTAAAACTGGAGTTAGATGCCTGAGGCTTATGTCTCCTTGTTGAGATGTCATGTTGCCTCGGAGGATAGAAGAGCTGTCTCTTTGTTGACTATTGCAGTGGAGGCTTATAGTCTCATTGCTTGTTGGCTGGATAAACTCCCAGGGAGCGGAGGGTAGCAAGTGAATGTTTAAAGGAGTGCAACACCTCATTGGCCTTATCTGAAAACAAAAGACTGACCATCAAAAGATATATAATCTATCTGCTGTTAAACTGGAATTACATGACCAGGATGCCCATCTCATAATTGCAAAGGCCCTCGCCCTGGAGAAAGCATCTGCAATGTCAAGAGTGGATTGGAGTGAGGTCTTTGCAACCAACCAACCAACCTTCTGTTAGAAAAGCCAGGAACTCCTCTTTTGTGTCATTTGGCCATTTAGATATTGCCTCCCACCTGAGAAAATCATACTCTGCTAACAGAGCTTGTTAGTTCACTATTCTCATCTGGAGTGAGGAAGTAGAATAAATGTTTCTTCCTAAGGAGTCCAGCCTTTTGAGTTCTTTTTCCTTTGGAGTCAACTTAAATCTTCCTTCCTGTGGTCTCTCATTAGTGGCCACAATGATTAGGAAGTTTGACACTGGGTAAGAGTAAAAACACTTAAATCCCTGCGATGGGACATGGTTTGGCTAGTCCATATGTTTAGCTATGGGGGACAGTAACTTTGTTGTACACCAAAAGACAATATCATTAATCAGGTAGTCTATCCTTCCTGGAGTCATTGCCAAAAGAATGTCAAATAACTTGTAGATATTTTCCCATACCAGCTAAGCTTGGATATCCAAAGCTGTAGCCAGTCTCCTAAATAGGTCTTGGTAGGATTTAAAATTCTCTGGGAGTGGAGACTAACCTGAATCTAAGACCACTGAGTCATCCAAAGAGGACAAGGACAGAATTCCTGGAACTGATGGTATCCCCGGAGGGAAGAGTTAATCCGCCAGCAAGGGCTCATCCAACAGAGGTGGTTCAGGAAGACAAGCAGCATCCTAAATCTGCAGAGGTCATTCTGAGTGTTGCCACTTTTTATAAGGTGGACCAAATCTTCCCTTTGGCTAGGGGCAGAGAGCTAGATCTGTGGGAGCAAGGAATATCCCACAGAGGCCACTGTAAGAGTATAGTACATAGGAAGCGAAGCCAAGACAAGACATACTCAGCCAGGATGGCCTATCCTTGCCATAAGAGCAGTTCTGCTTTCAGTACCAATGTTGTCCTTCAATTGCACATTTGGATGACTTGCACAATCTTTCAATGCAGTAACATAGATGAGTTGCAGGACTCAGAATTGGAGGAAGCCTCTCAAGTAAGCAGTGAGCATTGATGGTGCCCAATCCAGTGAAACCACTGGATAACTCAATTTGTCCATTGGCAGAAGGGCATGGTCAGGACAAGCGGCAGAACCACAGTCGATACCACAAATGCAACTCAAGAGGTTGAAGTCCTAATAGAAGTGTTTGGTACTGAGAAAAGGTCCGCTGCCAGTGCCAATGAATAAGACATAGTAGGTCCCCACTCAATGAACCCCTCAGTACAGAGGTCACAGGACCGAGTGGGGTACCAGTGCTAGCCCAGCAGGCACATGTACAGCTGGTTTTTAATCAGTACTGAATCTGTCAGCACTAGTCATCTCTGTCCCAAAGCAGAAGAGGTCAGGGGGCCTGGAAATACCGGAGGTACTAATGCTACATGTATCTCGTGTCATTGGAGAGTCTGGTACAGATAAAGCAAGTCTGTTGCTGCTGCATATGCTGGTGGGGTTGTTGGTACCAAAAGTGGCATAATCACAACAGCATGCACAGGTACCGACTAGACAGCCATCCCACAGCCAGTTCTGGAGTCAGTGGTACAAGGATCCTCCTGCCTCTGTACTAGGGAGACATGGTTTGATGGCTCGGCTCTACCCTGAGTCCTTAGGTCTTGACAACATTGAGATCCTGTCTTCAATGAAGAGGAGGATGGATCTCTCTTCAATTTCAGATGGCTCTGATCTGTTTTGTGCTTCCTCTTTCGAGGGATCTCACGAGACGATGAATGAAACCTTTCCCTTCTTTAGGAAGAATCAGAGTCTAGGGGGTCTGTCCAAAACTCACATACAGGTAGAGGATGCCTGTGGGTGACAGACCGAGTGGTCCAAAGAGGGTCCCAGTCCTGAAGTAGGCCTCAGACTGATCCACTAGGTGCTGCTTGAGGCGTAGTTCTCTAGAAATGCATGTTCTTCATATTTAAAAAGGACACTACACTATTTAAAATGTCTTTTACCAAACAAAGCAAAGCACAGTAAGCAGCATACGTGGGGGTCACTACTGCAGAAATGGGCAATGTTTGAAACCTGGGGAACGCTGCATAACATGTGTGCTGAGCACCAGACACTAAACACACACACACACACACACACACACACACACACACACACACACAAAAAGACACTAAACTTCAGGTTCTAACTGCTATTTATACTAACAGAGTCTCAATAACTAACTGTGATGCACAGAGAAAAAAATATATTCTGCAAGTGTCCCTACTTAGAAGTGGATGATGTGTCCTAGTGTACAGTCCAAGGCTCTGATCCTGCAGTTTCTTCTGTCTAGGTGGATGACAGCACTTGAGTACAGTCCACAAAAAGCAATTCCACTGCAAGGGCAGAAGTTTGTCCACACCCAAGAAATCACAGGATCAAGACCCAAGACCTGTCCTATCCTAAAGTTTAAAAAGCTACACACAGTGTAAAGAATATCTATTATTCCTGTATTTTTCTTTCCCTCTTACTTGGAGCCCTTTTCATGTTTTCTCTCCTTCCCAGTCCCAACATAAAAAACAAAGCCTCTTGGGGATTTTCCAAATTAGGTCAAGGCATCTGTATACAAGCTTTCTCCAAATTTATTTTCATTGAGTTAGGAAACTGAGATTTGACTATTTGAAAGGCAAAAGATTATCCAAGGTCCAAAATGATCTATATTACTTGCACATAGATTTTAATCACATAATAGGTATAACAACTAATTTTTTGTATGTTTTTCAACTATTCAAATATAGATTCTATCACATTCCCTCAATAGTGCATATCTCCATAAATTACTAATACATAAATATCAGTAGTTATGCTTTAGAGTTCAGAATGATTTCACATCTCAGAATAGGGATGTCTGTGTGTTAGAATTCTCTCCAAGAACTCTTTCCATTCGGCTTCCCAAAAACTCAGCTCAACTCCAGCCTTCGTCACTCAGTTATCTTTATTTGGCATACAGCAGTGCTACACTGAGCTGATCAGACTCAGACGTGGGAGGGGATGGATGCAGGATACATCACAGCTCCAAAGTTACACAGAAATGTCTCCCTCTATATACATTACATATCTCATTGCATTTATTAAGCATTGAGTCATACATTTTAAGATTGGCTTGATTTCTTAGCAGGAACCAATCCCTGTACCGTATGCTCCACCCACACACTGTGCAAGTTTTGACTTCCTCTTTACCTCATCTCTACATTCCTAATTTATTTTGTCCCTTGTTATCTAGTTCAGAGTAAATAGTTCCCTGGGTGTTCTTCCTCTTATCTTAGTTAGATAATGCATTCTCTCTCCTTAAACTATGGACATATTTGCTTCTCATTTAGCGCAAACTTTCTGTTTTGAGCCTGATAATTCATTTAACTCCTTAATTCTATCATCCAAGAAATAAGGCCTTCCTCCAAGTGTTAATTACTGATGTCTCAACAGGGTTCAGCTACTTTCCCCTGATTCTGTCTTTTTATATTAGCATTCATTTCATTTGCATTATATTCCTGTTTTTGTGCTCTTTTTTGTTAAGTTTATTACCCAGCAGCACTTTCCCAAAACCACAACGGTTTTAATCATTTGAACTACCATTAAAAATAGGCTCCAAGTACAAACCAGGAGGTACAAGCTTACCTCCTTTGGCACAGCCCACCAGGGTGTTTCCACTGCCTGAACACTATTGTCCCCAATTGCTTGTTGCT